ACGTATTGGAATGGAATCAAGCCCAAGCATGCTGTAGACTCTGGTGGATGCTGTGGGCTATTCCGTTTGATATGATACTGGGATTTGGCGGAGGAGTAGCATCCTTCATTTTCTTGGGAGCCGTTTTGCCCAAACATACGGAATTGCAACAAGTATCAGTTGGGCAAACCATCAATATCGCGAACGGTTGTCATTTTATCCAATACAATGGCTTCATTCTGGAATGAGGACTTTTCATTGGATACGAATATATTCAGCCAAATGATCAGGAAAACATCTTGAAGTTCAAAGCTATATTCATTTTTATGTTGTCGAGTACAATTTAATGTAAAATTGTGTTCATATCTAAATTTAAATGCGTCATGACATCCAGGTATAAAATTTTGTAAATTAATACTCCATGCATACAAAACTAAGATATTATGACGGTTTGCGATATACAAAGTCAAAAATGTTTCATCAATTCTTTGACGTTTCGCTATAATTTCAAATACAAATCAATTATTAGAATATTAGAGCACTTTCGAAGATTCGTTAAGTTAGAATTTGAAAGTTAAACATGTCGCAGCGAAGTGAAACTCACGTAAAATATTATGGCTCTTTCGAAGACCCCAAGAGTTTGAGTTTGACACAACTCATGAGTGCCCATTATTTCCAACTCAGTCAAATAAGTACACTTGGCATCAAAGTCATAGTTCTAGAATAGACAAAATTATTTATCTTGCATCATACTGAGAGATATAAATTTCAAGAGATATGACTTACTTAGATACTTACCGAATAATATTGTTCATGTTGATATTATGACTTCTCGCATGTTGGTGTATGATTGAACACAAAGGCTGCAAAGGGAGCCAACGAAGGTGTTGCTCTACCTTTCAGGTACCAGGTGGCACAGGGTCATCTCACACAACGCTCGGAAATGTGAATGCTTTGATTAAGTCGTATAAATCAGTACGACTGCAGATGAAGTGTCGCGGAGCATAGCTTTGCAAGGTACGGTAGCTGTTTGCGGATCTATATTTTTTCCACGTGCTGGAGTTCTGTAGTTTGATTGGTTATAATATGAATATGACCATGACGCGCCATGTGTCACACCTGACTCCAGCGAAACTCTAATTCAAATAGTCGTTGAGACATCGACCGACTTGTGTCAACTGGATTTGCGTTTCAAATACAGTATTTTTGCATTGGTCAATCAAATCACTGGGAACCACATGGCGAAACTCAAACTCTAGCTCAGCAGGTTTTCGAAAGAGCTCTATTTCAGACACTTCTTGGCATTAAAAAATGCAGCTGCATTTATATTTTCCAACGCTATCCTTAGTTTTCTTTAATCGATGGACTTTTTGAGTTGAAGTGCTTCAAACATATGGCATTTTAGTGCACAAAAAGCGTTCGTGATATTGATGGTTTACCTACTGTCAATATCAGTGCAGGCATCACAGAAGTATTGTCAGTATTAGGACTGACCTCTCAGCAAAGTATTGTTGATTGGATAACATTTTGTGCTCTATTCATTAACGTCGGTCGAAGAATTCCCCCCAGGAGGGGTATAACCCGTGCTAGGGAGCCGAAATATACCTGTTCTGGGGGAAATTAAAATACGGATAATCTTCCGGATAAAGATACTCCTTGTATAGATCAGTACCTCACTTGAACCATTTAATTCATTCGGTTAATCGGAACTTTCCCGTAATCGGGTCGAATGTCCAGAATTCAATTTGTGCTCTGAGTGGCTTAGATTTCCATGAGTAGTTTCTTGATGCTATGAGTAGTTTCTTGATGCTATTGAGATAAATAAAATCCATCTGGTGTCTCTAACACCGAAGACGACTACTAGTACACCTTACTTGATGTTATCAACTGTGTAAAACAACATGACTTTGGAAACTGGTGCAACTCCAATCGCTTAGTTTTGACGTGCATTCGTTTGACGAGGGAGTCAGAGACGGTGGAACAATCCACCTTCCGCACGGCCACACAATACATAGTGATTGGCTTGGTATAGTTCCATTGTCGACATGCCACGATGCAAGGTCGGAGAAGGAATGAAGGTCGTCGAAGAAATTTGGAGTTACCCAGGTTGCCAGTGTCAACGTGGTCTCACTCACGGTCCTTACGTTTGGCAGTACGTTTAGGAGTGGTGAAGTCATCAACATCCATGGGAAGGGATTCCTCATCTGGAGTCGCACTGGATGGATCAGGGTGATTGGAGAGTGAGTCCGCCATGGGGCTGGGCTCATGTTCAAAGAACAAGGTACGGGGCATCCTGGGTTAGTCATGGGAGCCTCTTGGTTGGGGGGGCAGACCCCATTGGGGCTGAGTCGTTTGATGGTCGAGATCCGAAGGGATTGCAGCCAATCAGTGCACTCGGTGCGACCACCGTGGTGGTTCGAGGCCTCGCCTTCATAGTCGAGGAGGCGGTCCATCGGAAGGTTGAAGTCACTCATGATAAAGTGCTTGGCATGCGGGGAGAAGTCGCGAGGAAGAGATGAGAAGTAATCCTCTCGAAGGCCATTGGGGATGGGGGCGTAGACGTTGTGGAAGTACACCGGCGTATCACCCCAGCGAGTGCTTACCACCATGTATTTGTCTGGGACATCCAGGTGGGACTCATGATACAGGTGCTCGAAGCCTGGAGTCGATTTGTGAAAGAACAGCATGACCCCACTGCTTCGGTGGGCCTCGGCCACCACCGCTGATTGCCCATGATCATTGATGGCGAGGAAGTAATTGTCCCGCCCAATTGCATGGTCAAGGTGAAATCGAAAGGTGGCAGTTTGAAACTTAGTGGCCAGTTTGGTTTCCTGCAGGCCCACGACTGTGTGCTTCGAGAGGAGTGTGTCTCAGCAAGCTTGTGGCCATTGGCCTTCAGGCTGTTTATGTTGGCCGTGAGTAGGGAGATTTGATGTGTGTCAGACCCTGGGAAGGTCGGGGCATATGGTGGTGGACAACGTCGATGGGATTCGAATGCTCTAGGTAGGTCGGCGGGAGGGTGAATGTTGGGAGGGTGTGTGTGTGCGACCACCATGGTTAATACAGGAGGGGGGTGCCGAAAGTGAGAGACGGTGAGTCACCCGGGACAAAGAGGAGCATTGAGTTCTCCTGGTAGGAGTAGCCCGAGGAAATGATTGCCTCCAGTAAGCTGGTCCACTTGCCGGGGTGGGACGCGCTTAATTGTGACACAACCTTTCGCCCAAGGTCTGAGTGAAGTAGCGCAAATAGTGTCGTCGGTGAGAGCATTCTCACTGATCGTTGGGCAGGCAGCCATACCACTGGTTTACTCGTGAGGTAGAGCAGCCAGGCATCCGATTTATGCAACCAGTTCATTTGGACAGCCAGCCAGAGCTCAAAGACTGATAAGACGTCTTCGAGTTCGAGCAGAGTGGTTGCATTTGCACCAGCGGGGGCGGTGGGGGTGAAGTCCGAGGTACCACAAATTGCCTGCATGTATGCCGAAGAAGGTTTATCATGGAAGATGGTTCGGAAACCTTGTGGAAAGGTTGTGTACAGCTATGGGGAAGAAAGGATGAGGCGATCCATCTATGCCAAGAATGTAAGCGCACAGTTTGGTCGAACCCCGCAGGGTGGTCAGAGTAGAGAGTGGACAACGTAACGTTCCCCTGCAGCGGGGATCGGTGGAGACCCAACCAAAGTTCCTCGGGTTTGACGCGTTGTGCAAGCGTCAGCGACTCGGGGGTCATGTCCTGAATGGCCTCCTGGAGCTGCACCTGTTGTGACGCAGGGCTGACCTCCGGCTGGTCTGCCTCCTGGAGAGCAGAGATGACCTGTTTAAGGGTCATGTTGTCGGGATGCCATTCCAATCGCTTGTTTTTGACGTGCATGCGCTTGACCAGCGAGTCGGAGACGGTAGAGCAATCCACATCACGGACTGCCACACGGTAGGTTGTGATGGGCTTTGTATAACCCCATTTATCGACATGCCACTTCGCAATGTCTGGGATGGAGTGAAGGTCGTCGAAGAAATTGGGAGTAACCCAATCCGCGAGGGTGAGCGTCGGCTCACGCTCTTTTCGCTTCGTCGTTCGTTTGGGTGTAGTGTATTCCTCTACCTCCATGAGAGTGGGGTCCTCAAAGGGATTGGGAAGCTGCCCATCCGGTGTAGGGGTTGGTTCGGCAGGAGAGGGGCGGGATTGGATTCCCCCCCCATGTCCGCGTCTGCGCCCACTGTGTCCTCATCCTGGTGGCATTGGCTTGCGGGTCCCCCGTTTGTCGTGCGTGTACGTTTGGATGAACTGGTCTGCTCCTGCGCAGCACGTGCAGTGGCGAACATGCTATCAAGGTCCAGGCAGTGGTGTGAACGCCCTCCTCGTTTAGGTACCCGGGACGGCGTGTAGAGTTTAGCATATACCGCATATGTCACTCCCTGGAACCGTAATTGGTCCACCGGGTGGTTGTTGATGATGAGGTTCGTCGGTATGTCATCAGTGCAAAAGTAGATTCGCCAAGCATTCGTGTGGCACGACGTGCCTGCAATCGTCGATCTGAATCCCTGAAACAGAGGCATCGTCTTAAGGCGACGAAGTGCCTTCATCAGCTCGACAGAGTCGAAATTATACCGGATGTTGGTGATGTCCACGTAGAACCGGTTATCGAGGCCCCTGCTCGCGCCACCTGCTCCAGTAGGGGGGGTAATCACTGAATACGATGTGTCCAGGATACGCATAGTCTGCCCAATCATGGCCAACTTGGTGGCTTCTTCCGCCACCGTAACCACCAAATCACCCCCACGGGGCTGATTGACCATGACGAAGTTGTCCAGGTGACAGGCCCAATCAGCGTCTTGATTGGCCTCGAAAATAGCTGCGATTATCTGGTCATACTTGAAAGAGGCCAGAGATGTACCAGTTTCAACCCAGAAGGTGGCCGTACCCACCTTTTGCTTGTACGGTGTGGCCTCCGCAATGGCACGCAGAAGTGAGTCATCGTCACAGGTTTCATCCTGGGCGAGAGCCAGGAGTTTCTGCACCATGGTGTTTGACTGCCGAGTGAGGACGTCCTTGAATTTAGATGATTTCGTACGCCCTGTAGCCCCCGCGACCGTAGAAGCATAGCTTGGACGAGCACTACTAGTTCCTATAGGACTACTACTGGAGTAGTACTACTAGGAGGGGCTTTGATGGTGTGTCGACCATCACCTGACAGAGGAGGAAACTGCCCAGCATTGTCAAGGTCAATCGTCACGCGGAAGTGACCAAGGTTGGAAGATGCGTTCAATAGTTGAGCATTCTGCCCGCTGATTGGTTCGTGGGGGGAACGACCGAATTTCCGTCCTGTGCATCCAATGGCAATGGACCAGAGTGTGTCGCGCACGGCGGCGACGGCGCAGAGCCCGACGGGTCCTGGGAGGTCAACAGGCCAGCAGGCTTGCTCCCCTGGTTGTCACGGGCAACCAGTCCAGGACACAGAGGCATATTCCCGTCAGGACCTCGACCAGGACCCTCTCAATCGAGGCTGTCATGCGACACGTCCAGCAGCACCGGAGGCGAGACAAGCGGCGCACAAGCAGTTGGGCCAGCGAGGCTCGAGGCATGCGATGGAGGAACCCGCTCTGTGGCTGGAAGAAGAAAGGCGAGGCGGCCAGGGTTACTGACAGTGGCCTTATGAGGGTCGGTGGTGGTGGTGATGTTCATTCTCCAAAAATAAGCAAAAGGGGTACTTGGACTTGTGCGGGGTAGACAGCAAAATGCGAAGTGCGCCGTTGGTTTAGTGGTAAAATATCCGCCTCCCACGCGGATGCCCCGGGTTCGATTCCCGGACGGCGCAATATTCTTCCATTTCTTTTTGCCAGTGAAACACATTGATTGTTGAAATGAAAAAAGACTTCATGGCAGTGCTCTCCAGTAACTGTAGTCCGTACTCATCCATGGAGAATTGCATCAGTGAGTGTGAAGGCGTTGCTTAGTGAGTCACTTACTGCATTCATTGGGTCACTTCCTGGTCGAGCTACAATGAATGCGCGAGGAATTCCGAAAGCAATATCTGAAGCATATTGCTGACCAAGTCATTCAAGGTATGTTCCTGATATCACCTAGTAGTGCATAGTTGTCGTAGGAGATGATGAGAACTGATTGTATCAATACACTCTCCACCTCGACCACAGAGCCGAAAACATGGGCGACGAATTGGTTGGAGCCTACAGTCGTCACTTATCATAAATGCATCCATTTCGTTAACATTATGTGAAATATATTGGTCTCGGCAGGAAATATATTGGATGTTTGCGAATCTAACTGAGCAAATCATGAAATATACTTGCTGTCCACGAAATTGAATGCTGAAGTCGCGAAATATAATGAAGCTCCACGAATTTAAATGGGATTCCACGAAATATACCAGATATTTTTCGAAATTAACCGCAAAATGGTGCAGTACACCTTACTTGGTGTTATTAATTGTGTAAAACAACATGACTTTGGAAACTTCGTGAATTTGGAAGTATTTGAATGCGTTTAATTCGAAACAGGGATTTCGGGTGTCCAAAAAACATACACAAAGTATGGAAATAGGGTTTTCTCTTCTCACGAGTGTGAACTTTTCGTTGGAGCTGGTATGCGTAGTGATAAGAGTACTCCAATAACTTCGATGAAGTTAATGCACATCCACCCCTTTTATTAAACCATGCCAACGACGAAGCTCACCCTGGTGAACCCAAATCTGGGGTACGATCAAGGATTATAACTAGAAGCATCTAGTAGTTTTATACTTTGTATAATATCAAGAACTAAATCAATATCTACAGTTTAGGATAAATTCTGGAAGCGATGCAAACGTGCGGTAATCTCAACGCGTTGCGAGCTGACGGGAAAACAAATCATCGGCGACTACCAACGCTCAAGTGACGAGATTATTTCGACGTCCTCGGCCAGCCGCGCCAAATGAGATCTTGTCAAGCACTTGTATGGATCAATCGACGCCGCGCTCGAAAAAGCTACCATATGCTTTGTACTGGTAATCCTGGAATGTTTGAACTCGTCGACACAAGGAAGAGGCGTTCTTTCGAAGCGCACTCGTCCCTAAGTTTGCATGGATGGTTTTGAACACTGTCCAAATATGTTAGACCTCGACGTTATTCGTTATATATCTTCGTTTGCTTACATTGATTTTACTAGGTGCACATCTCAAAGATCTGATGAATTTGAATGGTGTTCTCTTGCTTGCCACAGTGAGGAGCCAAATAACCATCATGTTATTATTGGTACGTCCTAAAACTCTTGTTGAAATCTATTAGGGATGCCGTCGTTCCGGTTGAAAACGGTGATCTTTGGGCCTGATTGTTGTGCTTATCCTTACCACAGTCATCGTGTCGGATCGCCTGAAAAGTTATATTTCCTCTGTATAAAATTACTTCCAGCTTTTGAGAAGCTCAGTTGTACCGTATTACCGCCAGCACTTCTACGCCTTATGATTGGCTCGTGATACCATTTTTTTATTTCATTGGTCGTCTGAAAAGCCTCGTCAGATCTGATAAATTTTGCGTTAGTAATGGCTTTTTTGGTCACCTCAGTCCACTACTTTTGAAATACAAAAGAAAAATTCAGTAATTTGAAACAGAGGAAATACTACTTTCAGTCTAGACATTCTACAACTTCTACATATATACATATATATACACTTCCTCCATTCCATAAATCTGGAGACATTGGTTTTCGCCAAATTTTCATCTTATCTTTTGTATGCTCTCTGAGACGAAAAAGTGTAATTTTATTCACAAAGTTGATTTTACGACGAGAACAAACAACATGATATGCTGCACATAATACAGAATTCGTAAGGTGAGATAGTAGGTTTTAGTAGGCTCGCAAGGTGAGCCACCTTACGATTTCCATAAATCGATCTGAAATCGATCAAAATATATTGAAATAATCTTCATATTTGTATGGAATATTTAAATTCCCGTTAAACGCATCTTTTTGATGAATTCGTAAGGCAGGCTGCCTTACCAAAGTCTGTCCAATTATATGACAGAGAAATTGTAAAAACTGACCAATAGGATAGCTCTATGCCAATCGCCTTCTATTCACTCAAATGACAAGCCGAAGCAGCTTCACGATCGAGGAAGCGCGTCGCAACAGGATCAGTGGCGACACCCGGACTGGTTATGCATCTGGCATCAACCAAGTAATCATATGGATCAAGCTTGTTAACAAGCTGCACCTGTTAAAGCAATCTGCGGACGGAACAGCGGGGGAATCCCTTGACCTCAGCCAATTTCAGTACCTCGACTTCCTGGATTTTCTAGTCTGGACCGTTCGAAACAAGCCAACGATAAAGCCAGGTACCCTGAGTGGGTATCGCAGCGCCATCAAGAGCTTGTACCGAGACGAGAGCCTTGCTGTGCCCATTGAATTCGGTGACGACATGAAAGAAATATTCTCGGGTACTTCACTAACTATTGAATTTACTATGCATAACAATGCAATAATATTCCATTTTGTTAGGCCTGCGAAAAACGATTGCCCAAGACCTACAGTCGGGGCGTCTTCAGGACTCGGGAAAACGACCATTAAGTTGGTCAACGTTTGAGCGACTGTGCTATGACAGCATGTTGCTATCGGATGGAGGATTCACCCATCTTTTCCTCATCGTGACATGGAACCTCATGTGTCGGTCCCAATCAACAGAAACCATAAGGTAGTAGTGATGTTAGTAGTAGTGTTGTTAGTTGTACTTTATATTCCTTACGTAAATTTAGCTTCGACCACTTCGACCACTTCGACCACTTGTCATTGGAAGGTGACGCCATCGGAGTAAAGTTTTACAAAACAAAGACAAAACAAGAAGGTACTACACTTTAAGTAATAACTGTCTCAATGCTGGTCTATTCAGGCACCACTGTACGTGACCCAAGACATTGCTACGCAAATCCAAGTCAACCAGCGGCCTGTATTTTCCTCGCGCTTGGACTATACCTTTCCTGCAACAACCAAATCGAACCAAGCAATTTATTCCCTGGTTCAAAACAAAAGGTGCATTAATGAAAGTATTTTGCTTATAGATGTAATGTTACTAAAATAATGTGCAGGATCGATTTGGAAAATCGTTGGCGCGCTTACTATGTGGGTTGGACCGACAGAGTGGCCCTGGACCCATCCAGAAACGCGAGATTGGGACGCACTCTATCCGAAAGGGGGTGGCTACCTTCGCATGCTCAGGAACCACTGGTGGGCCGTCCATTGTCAGTGTATGTTTACGCTGTGGTTGGTCGCTTGGCAATGTGATGGAGCGGTATTTCCGCTACGAGGCTGCTGGGGATCAGTTTTTGGGTCGTGTGGTTGCTGGGTTGCCCGTTAATAGTGAGGAATTTGCTGTTCTACCCCCATACTTTGCCAACAACGACGATGCTACGGTTGTGGAAATGCTCCAACTCACGTTCCCCAGTGTGTGTCATCTTGGACATTTGGCGGGTGTGCTCCAATTCGCGTTGGCCAGTTTGGTGTTCCATCGCGATTATTTGGTTGCGACCTTGCCGTCAACTCATGCTTTGTTGCATACACCGTTGCTTTGCTCGGAGGTTGCACGGGAATCACTTGGCGCCAACTTAACTCAAGGAACCATTATTGGCTTTTTACGCCCCACCGGAATCCCGCCCCATGTCGAAATTTACAAAAAATTGGAGAAAAATCACGACTCCATTTTGTCAATTCCAAACCTTGTTTTGGACGGGGTGGCCAAAATACTTGACGAGCGTGGGGCCATGGCGCCACACCTGACGAAGGACGTGTTGGAAAGTTGCCTTGCAAAGGCACTGGGTGGCTACGTTCAATCCCAACCACCATCCAACTCAACAACGAACGCACGCGTGTCTGTCCGTGGTGGCACTGTGTTTGAGTGGGGTGGTCAGTTCAGACGTCTCCCGGAGGATTTTGAATTTCCCAGCGTTAATGTGTCGACAGCGTGGAGACTGTGGTGGCTTGGAAACGGAAATATTTTCCCGTTTTCGAAAATCCTGCCGTTTGATTTATCAACGAAAAAAAAACGCGACAAACTCAGTGAGTGGAAAGTATTGATGACGCGTTTACATGACTACACAACAAGCGCTGGCTTTATTATGGCACGTACACCCAGCGAGGTCGATGTTTTGGCTGCGTTTGAGGTGGCAAAACAGTTTTTACTGCCGTATGCATCGCGTAGCACAGCGAACAACAAGCGACCCCTCGGCCAACTCAAGGTCTGCACCGTCGTGAAGTTGGTCCGCCTCGTTGACGGGAGCAGAACCCAGCGTGCATTCAAAAAGCGAAAAACACGAGGGCCATAATTTGTGCTCGAGTACCTATCCTATTCCATGTGACGTGTTCGTGAGGCCATTGTGTAATCTCCGTTCACGCTGCTCCATTACGAGCCACAGTAGGTGATAAATAAACAATGTATTCAATTTGACAATGAAGAAATTCTTACCTCGCCCTTCATGTGTTGGGAATCGAATTGGACTTGACCCGGCGATGCCACATGATCACCTGTATGGTCTATTACGCAGGGCAATGATGTCAACTAGGTTGATGGAAGTGACGTGCTGAGTAGTATGGTGAGCCCTGTGGCTTGAGCATGACCTGATGCGAGCGTGCGTCGCATGCGGGCGACGAAGTGGTGGTAACATCGGCTTGCTTGCGGTGATGTCAAGAAGTCCGTTGTGAAAATACAGGACCAAGTGTATTGACCAATCACATGGCAAATAGAAATAATATATTCTGATTGGATAATAATCGGTAGTAAGGCCAGCCACCTTACGAATTCCACAAACAAGTCATCATATCGTCACATCATGGACAATTGTGCAGAGAATTAATATTGGACGTACTGATCACACCCTCAATGTCACATGATACCAAATCACTAGAAAGGTTATCTACACTACGTTTGAAGTCATTCCGAGCATTCATCGCTTCGATAACAGTGACTACATCAGGATCGCACACTGAATGGGCGGTTGGTCCCAGTCTTGCCATCTTGTCCTTGCTCTGATGCAGGAACTTGTATGAGTTGTCACCGCCCATTTTCAATGACTCCTCCATGACTCTCACTAGAGTCACGAAAGTCTTGTCCAGAATACGCCAATCCAGTTCGTCGTATGCCCCATGAACGGCGGCAACAAGATCATCGATTCCAGTGACCACTGACGATACTGTAGGGCTTGGATCGAGTTGAAGAACCCAAGATCCAGAACCTTGAAGTCAGGGCTCATTGCTGGTTGTGCCACAAGTCAAATCGCCCACATGCCAGAACGACCGGTAGCAACCACGGCAGGGTCGTCGACTTCGACATGAGGTCTACATTGTCTTGCTGAATGTAGATTGGTTGGTCACGTCGACCTGGCCAAACCGACTTGATGCGTGGAATGACGTGTTGCAGCAGGTATTCACGCTACACCTTCTTCGTGACAGTCAACGGTGTTGTGACCAAGGTACCGCGATCTCGATTCTTGCTCTTGCACCGAGCTGGCTCAACCGACACAAAAGGCCACATACCGAGTTTGCCATCCCACATTGTCTTCCGCACGTAGTCGAACCGTGGAGGCGCCACCGCGGTCAAGAACATCACCTTGTTGATGTGACGTTCGAGGAGCACTTGCGGACAGGCACGGCTTCATCGTACTAGAGGTAGTATCGTCGATTGACCACCGTGAGGTAGAACAACTTCTCGTCAATGTGGATGCGATTCGTCATGTCGTCCCACCGTATTGGGGCTCTTGGCGACTCGCGAACAAAGGAACGAATGAAATTGACGCGATCAGCCTTGTGCTTGTCCGTAACCATGGGTTTCAGTCGGCCGACGCCGTAACTCTTCGACTGGAGCAAGCGCCAAAGCGTTGTCGAAGGTATGCCACTGGAAGCCGCCAACAACGCGAAGGTCCTGCACAGATGCGGTGGGAAACACTTTACGGCGGACTCGATTTGCTCGATGGTACGTGATGGCCGACGTCCCGCTCAACCCTTCCTCTTCAATGCCACATCGGCAAGTCCTGACTGGGCCTTCGAGAGCTGACCGCGCTTCCACACCTTCGACAACATATCAAGGCAGACGCCTTGATATGCCATACTTCAGGAGGAGCTCCTTGGCCTGGGCTTTGGCCTGGCGGTCGTTCTGCTTGTGCTCCAGCAGTTCATGGTACATACTGAGCCGTTGGTCGTCGGGCAGGTCATGCTTGGTCATGGAGCGCGGCATCGGATTTTGTTCGACAACTTGTCCCTCAGAAATGATGTGTGCTAGCTATATCTACGCAACGCGACGAGTCGTTTGCGTTAGATTTGAGCTCAATTGGATTAAAAATGAATGAGTTACGGGAGTTTAAGATTGGCTGTCCTGAGCTTGGGCGTTTGATCCTTGGTTGTGAACCGCCGAGAAACGAAAAAATCTGAATATACCTGCGTACTAGTCTTTTCATTGGCTATCTCGGTGCCAAATTTCGCTCTATTCTGAATAATCGAGCCACAGAAAACGGTTTCCAAGTTATATGCTCCAGATTTGCCGAATGGAGGAAGTATATGTATATCTGAAACAATCTGGACATCTAGAACTTTGTTCAAGTGCTTGAGGCTATATGCATTTCAAGGAGACTCTCTTACATCCTCGATAACTAGGGCTGATGAAAGCCTGCATTGCTGAGTGCCCCAATGTCCCACACAGACTCTGTATGCGCCACATTGTGGCGAACATCAACAGATCGCTTGGTCGCCACTTGTCTAGCCCTGGTGTACACACTGGTACGCGCCGACAGCCACGAAACGTTTGGGCGCAACATGGAGAAACTGGCATCGATAAACTCAGGTGTACAAAGATAAATGTTCCTATGCTATTATCCCCCCAGTCCGTAGTTGGTGCTGCATACCTCTCGAACATCCCACGGAAGAACTGGGTGACCTATGCGTTCCCTAGATCAACGTTTAGCATCATCACTTCGAACATGAACAAATCGGCAACCAATGGCTGGGAACTGAGCTACATACCTCAAATGCTGTGATGTTACACTTCCGATATATGACCACTTACTGAAAAGCATGAACGAGTGAAGGCACTGTACAGTTTCTGAATATACATATACTATGCAGATTCATCTAGATGCCTAGTTTCTAAATATCCTCAAGAATATTTTAGTCAATATATGTCTTCGAGAATTCTACATATAATTTAGAACGTAGAACTAACAATTTTGTAGATCGAAAAGTGCAAGCTGGCCTGACGACTCAATGATACCTGTTCACCACAATTTGTACCTGACGCTGTTAATAAAGTCATGAAACATATCAGTATCAACAAATCGCAACTGTTTATGCATCTAAATTGATCATAACTGTGTAGATTGGTTTTTGCGAGCCAGCGAAGACGTTTTTGGCGTTGTACTTCCATCCAACCTCGACAACTACCCCACTTTTTTACTGGCGCTTAGTTCACCTGGAAGCGAAAACATGACAGTGCGTTTAACACAAGAAAATATTGTATCCATGCCATCCGATGCTACGCTATTCATCAGGATTATATGCTCTAATTCGACGATGTGTACTTGACGAAGCTCTTCAAGGTTCTCTACGCAGCCCGTGCCGTACCAGTTCCGCCACAAGACCTTGACAGAGATCCAGTATCAAGTGCACCTGTTGCTTGTGGACTGAAATCGAACGCTACGAAGCAAGACCCGAAAACGAGATGACGAAAACGATCGAATAGGACACATAATTAGCATAATGGTCGACATTGTAAAGGTCTATGCATTTGATATTAATATACACACATACGTGTAGACTACAGTAAGCTCTCGCTTAACTCCGCACGGCCAGCACAGGGTTGGAATGACAAGTGCGGAGTTAGTGGAGTTACATTTTACAATAAAAATACAAAAAATTTAATACTGATAGTAATCAGGACAAAGTGGTGGTGTAGGTACAACACTACTGTATTATCAAACATGCATTGGTGGTCAGAGTTCATTTCGACGATAGTTCGTGTGGGAGGCGAACGCCTTAACGTTTGTCCATACTCGATAAACTTATACGGTCAGTGCGAGCATAGTTCGTTCATAGGATAGCGTTGAACGAGCTGCCAAGACCAAACGTCCAGGCTCTGCAGGTGTCAAAGGTGGTCATCCGCCTCATGTGCTAGACGCCAGCGACCTGTATTAAAGCTACCTGGGAAAATGTGTTGTCGTCAACGATTAAGAACACGTTTGTGATGCCGGATATCGGAGTCAACTCTTTATCAAACGTCGTAAGTAGTGATGACAACGTAGATGACAAAGTAGTCGAACTGAATGTGCTTGCGCAGAACCATGGGCTCGAAGACTAGTGATATGAATCGTTTTTTGCATTGTGATGACCGAAATCCGATGAATACATCGCATCGATAATGACCGAAATGATAAAATAATTTTTTTCATTATTCGTTTTTAATTTTTATCCTCAGCACGGTGTTTTGGACCAAAACGTGAGTAATGCGGAGTTAGTGGCTGCGGAGTTAAGCGAGAGCTTACTGAATACTACTCTGGCGCATAATAGTTGTCGCCTCCATGTTCTCATTGGCGGAATTTTTCTAAAAGTACGATTTAATTGGTGCTGATAGGTGCATTCAAGAGCGCAAGAACTCTGTTTTGATTGGGTTATTTGCGATCGTTCTGGACCATTTTGGTTCCAGAGTTATTGAGCGCCAAAGTTGGCACGTCACTGAGTCCGCAGTCGAGCTGACCCGCTACGTCAATAGTTTTCAATTTGACATGAATCAAACACTGTCCATCGTTTACTATCGTCCAAGCAATGCCCCAGCAAACCAACATGTCCCCCAAAGTCGCTTCTGCAGTCGCACCTGCTCGTGTCCGTGGGAAGAAGCACCTCACCCTCGCGCAACGTCATCGCATCTACGAGCTGCTCCTGGAGATATGCGTCCAAGGCGAGCTACACCGTGGCGCCATGCTATATGTAGCACAACAGTTTCAGTGTGATTCGCGGATCATCTCCCATATCTGGAGCCGTGGCCGTGCATCCTCACGCAATGGCAGGGGTGTTGCCGATATCGCGTCGAAAATTCCAGGTAAAGCCTCCATGATTCTATATTCTATTATCTTTGAGAAGTATGAAGTTTTAAGGTTGTACTGATTTAGGAAACTCTGGTCGCAAAAGAACGCGTTCTGTGGACGAGATTGAAGCCGCAACCCGCCAAGTCCACCAAGAATCGCGGCAAACAATGCGGGCACTGGCGTTCAAGTCTGGTATCCCTCGTCGCACGATTGGACGCCATATGCAAGAGACTGGACGTTTGAAGGCACGGTCAAGTTACATTAAGCCGTTCCTGACACCCGACAACATTCAAGCCCGACTAGGGTACGCATCGTCTTTTCTTTTACCTTCGTCGAATGGAAGCTATATTTTGAAAATATGTACGATTATGTTCATATCGACGAAAAATGGTTCTATTTGACGAAGGTAAAACGAAAATACTTTGTGTACGAGGACGAGGAACTGGCAGCCCGGT